TTTGTGGGGGGGGGGGGGGGGGCGCTACATGTTTATTTATATTATGATTATCTATCAATGTGCAAATATATTAATAACATACCTTGTCCCATAAACTAAGCATTCAAAATTATTATAGACACACATATATTTAACTGTCACTAACTATTTAAGAATAAATATATTGAGACTGGATATCTTATCACTGCATGATCAAAAACCAACAAATTCATAATGCTGTGCTATGGTTATATAGGATTATAGGTGATGCAAATGAATATTAAATAAAAAATTTAAATCATAAAATAAAATTTGGATATGCAGCAGTTATCAAGTAAGCACTACACAGGCAGTTTCTAGCTTAAGCCATGTTTGAAAAAGAATTTAGAATTTGAGTTGCTCAATCATCAATCATGGTCATCTTAAAACTAATTATCATTATATCAACCTAGTTGGAATGAATTCCAAAGACAACATTATCAAATATAACCAGCTTTGTTGGCAGTTGCATGACATGGTTAGCATTTAACCTTCTTCGATTTAGCTGAACCAGCATAATTTGCTGCTTTCCCAATTATGTTTGAAATTTTTTTGGTTGAGTCCTTCCCTGGAGGATGGTTTTCCTCAGGCTTGTGAAAAGGGTAACTCATAGCCTTTCCAGGTGTTCTCTTCAATGCTTTCCTTTTGTGCCGCCTGAAGTGGGCAAGCTTCAACAAAGTATCTTCTCTCCTAGCCTGATAAACGAATTTATACAATGTCAGGTATGGACGGTATTGGAGACTAAGCTTTACAACAAAAGGCTAATCAAGGTTGACAAATACAATGTACCCATTGATGAGGCATAACTCCCAGAATTGATTCTCTGAATTCCCTGCATTCAAACTGGAATTTCACATGTCACAGGAAGCTACCTTTAGGGGGATTTCTATAATTTAAAACAAAGATTTCATAATAACATTAAATTTAAACAAACTACTTTACTATGTGCACGTGAGTGTTTCCACACATAACAAAGGGATAGATGACATTTCTGAAGAAAACTTCGATTAATACTTTTAAACACTTGTTATTCTTAGATTTTTTTAGTATATTATAGACTGTAGTGGAATATAATCGAGAGAGAAAGGATGGTATTACTTATTCTTTGTTTGGAAGTTGCTTACACTTTAGAGGATTAATGAGAAAAAGTTGTTAATTTGGAATTACAGCATTAATAACGCATAACAATATTCAAAATCAACTAAAGGGCAGAATAGTAAAATAAACAACTATATTTCTAGGATTTGTAAAATCAATATATTTGAAAAAGAAAAACAATTCTTTCATTGCTTTACCTCAAAAATCCAGCCTGGTAACTGGTGAAGGGTTATAAAGGATGGGATTTTTTTTAATATTTTTATGCCATAATGCCACCAAATTTCAATAAACCAGACTCCAGTATACGCATAGGATTCAGTTGAAAAAATAAAATAGAAGTACCTCTCCAGGTTGACGGGTATTCAGAGCATGAACATCAAGCTTGTAGTTATGATGCGGAAGTAATTGCAATACATCTGAAGAATGTGATTAAATGTTATAAAAAATGAAAAGAAAATAAAAGTAATTAGAATAAAGGATAACAGTACACAAGAGTGTTCAACAAAATACATGTTAGATTAGTGAACATTAAAGTTGTTTTATCCATGTAGCCGAGGCTCGATTGTAGTTGTTAAATGTCAGATTAGCATCAATCACACATTCAATCAGACTTGTACATATGTAAACAGTTTGAAACATATGTAAACAGTTTAACAGCATAGCTGAAGCATCCTTCTTTAAGGGTATAACTATTGACATCAGACTCTAGTTCAATATGTTCTGCATTTTAATTTTTACTTTAATTGCAACTTCTCTTCTGTTTTCATGTTTCTTCCTGGATTGCAACCACCTAGATACACTTTGAAACATAAAACAAACTGGGGGAGATAAGAGAAAAAGCAGTTAATGAATTTAAAGATAGAAAAATGTATCCTTCAAACCAAGAAAATAACATGAAGAAAAACGCATTCTTAAATAATAAAATTATTTCAGTTTGAATTTAGGACGATGACAACACCCAAACAACAGACCAAACTGAAGACCAGATAATAAAGCACAGCACCTCATTTTTTCGGCTCCATCGTTCAACGCCAGATCTACCAGCAAATGCATAAAATGCAAAATGGCGTAAATCCACATTTCCAGAATTTTCAGAAGCCTATCCAAGGCAAGGATCAGAATATATAGTCAAAATCTGTCACCAATATAAGAAGAGAACTGACATGTACCAGATACATTTTTCAGCAAAACGAGAAATTTAAAGGAAGGAGTTTCAGTAAGGAGTCAAAATGTTTCCTAGTTATTTAGCTGCCTGATTATTAAGGTCCAGATTCTTAGGCTACACACTGCAAAGTGCAGAGTTTATTGGCTTAATAATAACACGTATTAGTGAAATTTTACAGTCTATCTATCTATATCAGCATAGGACTTCAAATTGACAGTTCAATAAAGCAAAATAAGATCAACCTTGAAGACCCAAAATCAAACTAAACTAAAACAAATATGTTAACCCAAAATCAAGCACTTAAAGTAAGCGCTACAATCACATCAGTGTTTTCAGTAGGTATCCTCTAGCATGCTACAGGATGGTAAACCAAAACAAGCACAAAATTTAGCATCCAATAAATACATGTCTATACCTCCTTTTCAGCAGTACTTCTTCTATGTTGCTCTGAAAATCTGGCTCCCATCCCCATTTCTTCAAAAGGATCCATAAAAAGCTGAAAGTGGAAAGCAATAAACATAGCTATACCAAAACAATTGATTCACAAATTAAGACAGCAGTAAGACCAATTTACCAATTTTAGAAGAAAATACTAAATAGTAATAATTCTGAACATGTATTAGAGATGTTCAAATCCAAATCATTACCATTATAAAAATAGAAATTTCTGAAATTCAAGAAGTAACACATCCTACATTACTATCATACTTCAAATAAAATTGCCGAGGAACTTTCATATCTGCCCTTGCAGTGTTTAAAACAAAATAAGAAGATGGCCACAACCTAATGTCACTCCTAAGTTGTTCACTTTTTAAAAAGGGCGATAGACACCATCCACAATATATAGCAAGTTTTTCAAATAGCGCACAGAAAGGGGCATACATAGCAAAATAGAATACTAAACCAGAAAACAAGCAGGAAAGGAACACATACATGTGGCTGCATTTCCATCCTGCCACCAACAATTATCAATCCTGTATCGCCATGCTTTAGAGTGTAATTGCTTATAGAGATTGCAACTTCCCTATGGTGAGCATTATGTGGAAAATCCTCCTATAACAACCACCAAAAGAATTAGTAAGCTCAACATAATACAATAACAGAACCACAGTACAACTAAAACATCGTACCTGTAAATTATTTTCCCACAGCTTTTGAAGGTTGGAATCAAAACACATTACAGACCACCCCGACGTTACTACAACCAAAACCTGCTTCTGCGGCTGCCCAATTTTATAACGGTCAATATAGCCAGTGGCCATAGAAACAGGGCGTCTGCCAGACATGACACGGACTTTGTCTGGCAACAGAGACACCTCGGCCAACACACGCGCCTCACTGAACCCTTCATCGACACGCCTGCTATGGGGCTCCAAAATCTGAGACCCCCACCATAATTACATAATCCAGATACCAATACCAGTACCAGTCAAAACAAAGTTATTATAATCAAGCAAAATCAGCAAGTATGCAAAGATTACGAAATGTTGGTGTTATGCACACATTGTGAAGGATGCCAAAACAAGCATGGGAAATTACAAGTTGTGAATTGAATGCACCTGAATTTTGGCGTCGTGAGTAGCTACAAGAACTTCCTTCTTGCCGTCACCGTTGAGATCGGCGACGAGCGGCGGCGGAAGGCGTTCGGCTTCGTATTTGATTGGATATTCATCGGTTAGGTGCACCCACGCATCTTTGAACGAAATACCGCCATCTTGCTGAACAGCAATGAAAATAAGCAATAAAAGTGAAATTGGATGGTGCGAGATTGCATCTAGTGGAAAGCGGGGTTAGGGTTTTGCCGTGAGGGGGAAAGGAAAGGGTACCTGAAGAGTGAAGAAAATAGCGAAAGCGGAGAGCATGAGAATGGCCAAATCCCGCTTCCTCATGATTAGCGTGTGCAATTCAGCTCCTGTCTCCTCCTTCTTCTTCCTTTTACTCTCTTAAACATTCAACAAACACCCTCCTCCACCTCTTCACTTCTAACTCTACTGGTATCGCTGAAACCAGTGAAAATATATTTTTTAATTTAATATTTTATAATTTAAATTAATATTATAATGTTTTTTAAAATGTTTCTTTGGACGTTATATCATTTTTCAATTACTTGTGGTTGCATCAATCCTTTAGAGTCCTACCAACTTTATTGTCAAAAAATACTTTAAAAAATATTTTTTTAGTTTATTGTAAAGCAAACAATTTTTTTTTATTTTTACTTTTCATCTCTATAAAATTTGAAAATATTTATATTATTATGTAATTCTTATTAAATATTTATTTATTTATTTACTTTAGAAGTTTAAGTGATTTAAGTGACATCCACGTATATGTGATATTATGTCGCATCACTAAAAAAATTAAAATGAATATTATCTTATTATCTTAAAACTAACATTAAAGACAAAATATTTAATTTAAATTTTAGTTCAATAAGATAAAAAGACAAATATTTTATAAAATTAAAATAAAAATTTATTCATTTTATAAGAATCAAAATCAATGATTCTAAATTCTTAGAGGAATTAAAAAAGAAAATTATAAGACTAAAATCAAAATTCACTTATTTTATAAGAAAAAAACTTATTTGAGAAAAAAAAAATCAATCTCTAATAAATTTAATAAAAAAAAACAATATGTGTCTCCTTAAATGAAAATAATAAAAAATCTCTCTAATTTATGTTCTTATTAAATATCATGTATAATTATTAAAGGTAAAATAAAAAGTATAAAAGTGAATATCAAATATAGTCATCTCTTTTATTATTAGTATATTAATTACAACAATAGTATATTTTGGAAAGGTCTCACTCTCTCTTACATTCATTAGCATATAAATATTTTTCTTTATTAATATACAAATGTCTTTTATAATTTTTTTTATATCAAATTATGATAATGTTATAATTTTAATGGTAACAGATGAACTTTCGGTAATAAAACCAAAATTGTGAGTATAAAATTGAGGAATTAAGAATTGCATGACAAATCATATAATATTATAGGTGCCAAAATTACGATTTGTTCTTTAATCTTAAGTATATTTTTCATTGTTATTATAAAGTCAAAACACTATAGAAAAGTTTATAAATGAAATTCTGAGATCCAATCAAATAACAATTGCGAAGAGAAGTTCACCATCACATGCAAATAAGCGATATAATTGCTTGCGGTAGATAGTGTCCATAAATTTTTAACCCATAAACGACAGAATTCATTCTAGATGGTGTTAAATATTAAAAAAAAAAAAAAAACAAATGGGATTTTTTTCACAAGGTAGATGGATCTATCTTTGAGACAGATTCCTCCCGTTTTCCCGTTCTTCTGGTCAATCAGTTCTAATGGGATAGAGCCATCAGTATCAGCAAGCAAACAATACAGAAAAGACTAAAGAACATGATGCCCCAACGAGTTAATCTGCACATAGCCTTAACATTCTTACAACTTTGTTATGCAGGAAATCATATATTTGTGAGAATTGCACTTGATACAGGTGTAAGCAAGCTTATATTTCCTGTCTATAGAAACATTACTGCCTTGATTCTCCTCGCTCCCCTCTCATATTTTTCAGAGAAGTATGCAGTTTAGCTCTATGGTAAATATATTGAATTAGAATAGAACCCTTTATTTATCCCCCTTTAACCTAACTCACCTTTTTATTTATTTGTTTTCCTCTCTCTAAGGAAAGACAGGCCATCAATAACTGCTTATTGTATACTACACTTTTTCCTACTTGGACTTGTTGGGTACGATCTCTTCATGAAACAACTCCATTGATCACTAAGGCATACGTATTTGGCGTGATTTTAATCCCCGCTTCTGATTGTGGCAGAATAACAATGAAAGAAGGATTCTACCTATTGGGTTTGGAGAACACATCACCTACCTTTGCTTCTGCTATGCAGAATTCTGTTCCGGCCCTCACCTTTCTGATGGCTGCACTACTAAGGCAAGCTACAAAATTAACCTCTATAAGTCAAAAGCCTAATGAATAGGAGTATGTTAGAAGTGTTTTTGATAGCTTCTATGTCATGAAAATGTCAAAATCTTATTCATTGTCTTTAAACAAATGCTCTGTACCAACACTAAGAGACTATTTGAATATATGTTAGAAGTGTTTTTGAGACTTTTTTAAAAGAAAACTTTTTATTTTCAGTAAAAAAGTTTTCCGAAGTTTTTCTTAGTTTATATTCATGGTTATATATAAATTAAACTTTGTATGACTTATTTGTATATGGGAAATACAGATATGAGAGCGTGCATTTCAATAGGATTGATGGGGTGGCTAAGGTCCTTGGAGTCCTTGCTTCTGTTGGAGGTGCTTCGATCATTACCCTTTACAAGGGACCTGCTATTTATACTCCACGTTTAGCATTACATCATCATGAACAATACTTGTCTATATTGGGGGATGCCACGGGAAAGAACTGGAACATGGGTGGCATCTATCTCTTTGGTCACTGCTTATGTTGGTCTAGTTGGATTGTGATGCAAGCATTCGTTCTGAAAATATACTCGGCCCCACTCACAGTTTCTGCATTTACGTGCTTCTTTGGTGTTGTGCAGTTTTTGACAGTTGCAGCCTTTTTTGAGAAGGATTCCAAAGCCTGGCAGGTCAATTCTAGTGGAGAGATCTACAGTGTTTTGTTCTCGGTTTGTAAATTAAACTAGCCCCTCAATCTGCTTTTTTTCATTAGCATGTTGGTTCACTTGATGTTTTTATCTTCATGACAACTGTTTTCCTATTGGCTAATGGAAGTAAACACACATATATATATATCAATTTGTGATTAGATAACATCTTAGAAATTCTTTATATGGTATGAACTGTTTTTACTTCCTTTTACTTAATCTAGGATCAGAATAGGTGACCTTGACATTAAGAAAACTCATTTTAACTATTAGGATCTATGATGTGACTCGTTTTTATGTTAAAGGAAGCCAAATAGGACAAATGGGATGACAGAGTAGGCTGTTTTTTGTATCAGGGACTGGTGACTTCAGGGCTGGCATCAGCAATACAGATATGGACTATTGGCAAGGGAGGGCCAGTGCTTGCTTCAATTTATCTACCTTTACAAACATTACTTGTAGCTTTGATGGCATCTATTGTTTTTGGTGAAGAATTCTTCTTGGGAGGGTAGGTTCTTAGTATTATTGTAACTTTAACTTCATTTTGTTTTATTAAAGTTATTTCTATTGACAAAATAAGAATGAGAAATCTTATTATTTTCAATTTTGAGGTGCAGGATTATTGGAGCATTCTTAATTATATCTGGACTATACCTTGTTGTCTGGGGAAGAAGTCAAGAAACCAAGTTTGACAAACAGGTCATAGTCCCCATTGAGTCCAAGAATCATTGGGAAGGAAAAAGTGACGTTTCTTCCCTCACCCAACCATTGATTCCTACACAAAGCTCTTAGAGAGAAACAATTTATATGATGATAAAACTATGAAAGTCCCTTATGATGATCCAATACATTATCAGTTGTTTTATTACTGATTCTGGCAGCGTCTGCTATTGACGACACAGTCGTAATTGGGGAAATTTGAATATCCCTAAACATTTAGGTGTCACTTTGTTTTTTATTTAAATTTTTACTTGATTTGTTTTGGTTTATATATAAAAATGTTACCATATTTTAACATTATTTGCGGTTTGTAGGCAAACACTGAAGTGAAGGCAATATTTTGTTGTGATAATTTTCTTTCTAAACTCTTAAATACGAGAAATAAAATAAAATCACCTGAGACTTCTATAAATGTTAACTAAAAATTTAATAAACGATTATACAAGGATGCGCCAAAAGATGTTGAGTCTGATTGAAGAGATTAATTTTTTTGTAAAGCAACACATAATATTTTTTTTAAATGATTATTGTTGGAATGCAAGCAAAATCTCACATTATTCAAATAAAATGATTAACATAAGTTTATATACACATAGTTGTCTCTATTAGTAGAGAGATTTTTTGGGTGATATTCAAAAACAAAACTGTGAAGTCTTTGGTGTTTAATGGTATGTCAACTTTCAAGTAAGATTCCATAAAAATAAAAATAAAAAAAAAAAAAAAAAACTCACAAATAAGATTATATTTATCTTTACCAATTTTATTTATCAAAAACACATAAAAAAATAAATATATGATGAATAGGTCGTGATCCTATTATGTGAGGATGTAAATTCTAGCGTAACACGTTTTTTTAATAGATTTTAAATGTTATTGAATTTCGATTTAAAGATTAGTCTTAGTTGACTTCTGGATTCAGAATGGCCCGTTCCAAAACTGTGAATAAAATATTCTTTGCTTAATTGTGTTTTTGATCGCTCAAGTATTATAATTATGCAATTTTGATCCCTAAGATTTTAATTGAGTAATTTCAGTCCTTAAAAGATTTT